CCCACCTGGCAAGAGGGTCTCTCTTGTGCAGGGGCTGCTGTCTGAGACAGTGTTTGTCTAGTGGCCATTTTGCTGACAAATGGGGACAGTCGGTCTGAGAATGAACTGGTATAGCGGAGAGCAAACCCAAGAGGTGAGGAAGGATGAGTGTCTTGAAAGCATCGTCGAACACCCTGGCGCCAGCTGCATCCGAAGCAGCTGTTGACCTGGACTGTTCTTTACATATGCGCTTCATTCCCTTTCACTGTATTTTCAAACCATTCTTTGAGTTGGGTTTCAGTCACTGGTCACTGGCTGTTTAGGCCATTCTTGCATTGCTATCAAGAAATCCCTGAAACTAGGTAATTTGTAAGAAAAGAAGTCTAATTGGCTCACGGTTCTGCAGGCTGTACAGGAAGCATAGTGCCGGCATCTGCTTCCAGGGAGGCCTCAAGAAGCTTCCAATCATGGTGGAAGGCAAAAGGAGAACAGGCACATCACACGGTAACAGCAGGAGCAAGAAAGAGAACATAGGGGGAAGGTGCTACCATTGACAACAGCCAGATATCATGAGAACTCACTACCACGAGGCGAGCACAAGAGGACGGAGCTAAACCATTCATTGAAGATCGGCCTCCATGGTCCAATCACTTCCCACCAGACCTCACCTCCAACACTGGGGATTACAATTCTACATGAGATTTGGGTGGGGACAAATATTTGAATGTATCACTGGCTCATATAAAAAATTCTACCTGCCCTAGCTGGGCATAGCGGCTCACACATGTAATCCCAGCGAGTTCAAGACCAATCTGGCCAAGATAGCAAAACCCCGTCTCTACAATGCAAAAATTAGCCAGGCACGGTGGCAGGTGGCTGTAATCCCAGCTACTCGGGAGGCTAAGCCAGGAGAATCGCTTGAATCCGGGTGGCAGAGGTTGCATTGAGCCAAGATTGTGCCACTGCACTCCAGCTGGGAGATAGAGTGGGACTCTGTCTCAAAAAAAAAAAGAAAAAAGAAAAAAAATTTACCTGGCCTAGAGTCTTTTGTTTTTCTATCTGTGTTTTTCTGGAGCCTTAATTTGTTTTCTTTTTCCCTTAGCCAGATTGGAAGTTTCTCGAGGGCAGGGCTTGTATAGTAAACTCAATCCCCTCTGGATGCTATAAGGCAGCACAGTCCAGTGGAACTTGCTGTGACAATGTCTGGTACAGCAGCCACCCACTGGCCACAGGTGGCTTTAGAGCACCTGAAATGTGGTGGTGTAACTGAGGAAGAGAGTTTTAAATTTTAATTTCATTTTAATTCATAATTTGAGTAGCCACATGTGGCCCGCGGCTGCCATATTGGCCGGCACGGCAGGGTAGTGTCTTGCATCGGCAGCTGTTGCTCTGTGAATTTTTATGTATTTCTCTGTTCATTTGCTTAACAGACAACAATTTCCAGAGGCTATAATCTGAGTCTCCTCTGAGACATGGGAAACGTGGTCCAGGCGCAGTCACAGTCCCTACAGGCCCCCACAAGTTACCGTAATGCAAGGGTGAGAATGTGGCACGTCTCAGAGGAGACTCAGATTATAGTCTCTGGAACTCAGTGAGATCCCCTGTGATCTCCCAGAGAAATGTTGGGGCAGGTGGCAGGATTGCATAAGACTCCTCAAGGGCGGTTAGTCAAACACTGAGAGGAACGGATCCATCTGTACTCTGCTGAGGAACCCTTCTGGGATACAGGCCCTCATCTGAGAGGCAGCTGGAGGGGACAGAGTGAATGCAGACAGAGTTCAAGTTCTGGCTCTATTAGCAGTGATCACTTAGGAGAGCTCCTTCACTCACCGACTCTCCTCAGTAAAATAGTAATAGCGTGAAGCCCTCGGGATGGTTTTAGGATTAAAAGAGATACTTGTGCAAAGCCTCAGCACACAGTAAGTGGTTCGAACAAACATATGTACAGAATCTTAGCTGCCCATTATTATGAGGACTCAGCCCCCTCCTCCTGGGGGGCACTGTGAGGCTTAGAGAGATGCAGGGAGACCCAGCCCCTCGCCTCCCCTGATGTGAGGCTCTACCCTTCCACGGGGGGCCAGGTCTTCCTTTCTTGACTCCCCTCAATGCCGGGGCTGCCCGGGCTATAGGAACTCAATTCCTTTCTTGCAGGAAGAAAGAAGCCCTACCTGGTCCAAGTGAACTGAGGGGAGCTGGGCGTTTCCCACCGGTTTGATGCTGCTGCACTCCAGGTTCATTCCCTGCCTTTGGAAATCAGCAGCACAGCTTGCAGCCAGCGTGACTGAAAACAGGCATCTTGGGTAGATGCCACCTGACACCTTAGTCGGCTCCCAATCAGCGATGCCCTGGCTACCCCGGTGCCACTTCATGGGCCCATTGCATTGGGCTGCAGCCTGATCAGTTTGACTTCGCCATGAACCAGAGCAGAGGGAAAGGGCAAGCCTTTTGCAGAAGGCGGCACCTTGTGTCCAGGTGCAGCACTCAGGAAGCACTAATTGCATCAGGGATGACACAGATATGTGGGAGCCAGGTTGAGGGTCCTGGGAGGGGGCAGAGGCCCAGCAGAGGATCTGCTGCCTGATGCCCCTTCTGTACCCTCAGGTGAGCCCCTTGCCCCCAGCACTCTAGCCTCCAACTTCTTTGTAGCCATGGAGTTCTGCCTCTCCTGCCACAGGACCTTTGCACACACTGTCCATGCTGTCTAGAACCCTCTCCACCTGAACTCCCTTCAACCCAGGCCTCACCTTCTCTTTTCCACATTAAATCCCTATATGAAAAGATATGAAAAGCCCTCTGACTCCCAGCTACTTCTACTATCAGACTTAACTACAGTTGGCTGGGTGTGGTGGCTCACACCTGTAATCCCAGCACTTTGGGAGGCTGAGGTGGGGGTGGGGATCGGTTGCCTCAATAGTTCAAGATCAGCCTGGCAACATACTGAAACCTCTATAAAAAAAAAAAATCAATCAGGTGTGGTGGCACAGGCCTGCAGTCCCAACTACTGTGATATAGCTGGCCTAGAATTAGAACCAGTACAATGCCATTTTAAAATGGGAAAACTGTTTCCATTCTCCTCACAATGACTACTAGCCATGGCTTCTGTAAACTACTAAGATTACCTTGCAAAATGCAAAGAGAGGACAAGCTGCATACTTTCCCTTATCTGTAACTGCCAGAATTGCTGGCCTTTGCTTACCAAAGTAAGCACCCCCAGATAATTCCATCCTGCCGCCAAGTAACCTAAAATTATATGGACCCCACACCTGTCCAAATAATGTATAAACTAATGTTTACCTTGACCTCTGTAAACCACTTAAGTGGCAATCGGAATGACAAAAGTTCCCTGGCCCTTGGAATATCTGGAGCCCCCTCACCCTCCTCTCAGCCTAGGAGGTGATTGACAGCTTTCATTCCCATCTCTGTTCCTCACCCCCACTCCCAAGGTGGTTTTGTGGGTATAAAAAGGTCTTGTCACTCTTCTTTCTCTGCCACGGGTTGGAGAGACGTGAGTCCTCCGTGGTCGCCGGCAATAAATCCTGCAATTTGGTATACTTTTGTTCTGGTGTTGACTTTCTGTGCTAAGTTCAATGCAACACTACTCCAGAGGCTGAGGTGGGAGCGTTGCTTAAGCCCAGAAGATTGAGGCTGCAGTGAGCTATCTTCATGCCACTGCACTCCAGCCTGGGAGACAGAGCAAGACTTCATCTCCCCAAAAAAAAAAAAAAAAAGATTTAGACCACAGTGACACTTGGCTGAATAATTAATTCATGTCTGTCTTCCCCACCAAGAAGGTAGTGGTTGGGCCATATTTTGTCACTGTGATATCCTCAGCATCGCTCAGGAACTGCCTGACTGCCTGGGACGGTCTTCCCCCAGATCGTTGCAGAGCTGGCTCCTCAGAATTTCGGTCTCAGCTCAAAAATCCTCATATCCCCCGCCCTCTACTTGAAGTTCCTATCACACTTATCAGCACTTGAAATCAATTACCCTGGCCACTGGTGTGTTTCTCATCTCCCTTCATGACGTGTGTAAGTTCTGCCACTGGATCCCCAGCACCAAGGACAGGCCCTGGCTCCCAGGAGGATTTATTACTACAGTATCTGTGGTCAGCCTAGAGAAACTGGCTGACCCCAGCCTGCCTGTCAGCATCTTCTAACTTTTCTCATCTCCTCCCCATTTAATGCACACTTCCAGAGTGCTCAGCCCCTGCTGACGTGAGCAATGGGCGGTGAGTCCGGCTGGGTTTCTGCCCCATGAGAAGCATTCAGCCTGGTTTGGGGGGGTGGGACTCCCTCAGGGATGTTTGGATACCTGGGTGGAGCTTGCAGACCAGCCCCCACCTTGTGTGATTAGGGCTTTGCTAGGAAGGCCCATCTGTGCGCCGTGACCTTGGAACTCCACGTGAGACCCCTGGACCAGCAGCATCGCTTGGAAGCTTGTTGGAAATGCTGATCTCAGGTGGGACTCCAGAATTCCCAGATCTGCACCTGCACTCCCCAAATACCTCCCACCAGATGATCCGAGGGCATGGGGCAGTCTGAAGAGCACTGTGCTGGGAGCCTGGGGTCCCACCAGTAGAGACCCAGTCCTGCAATCTGAAGATGTAAGTGCCCTGAGGAGGAGTGACGGAGTGATATAAATAACACAAGGGGAGGAGACCTATTAGGTGTCCTCTCCTGACTGCAAGTTCCTGGGGCAGAAGGCCATGCTCGCACAGGGACTTTTCTAGAGGCTGTGAGTGCACCTGAATTGCATTTTGAGTGATGCTACCTGCTACGGTAAAGCCTTTGCTGGAAGGTGGGGGGAGGGGGCGAGGGTTGGGGGAGTATGTAATTGTGAGGATGAGCCTGAGTTTGGAGGCAGATGGACTGGGTTCGAGTCCCTGCTCCAGGACTTTACAGAGCTGGGCAAGCCCCTCCACCTTTCTGGTCTCAGCTTCTGCATCTGCAAAATGGGTTCTTAATCTTGTAAAGAAGCTGCTGGGAACACTCAATGAGAAAACACAGAAAAAACCCTCCTCCTTAAAGCCTGTGCAGTAGTATTTATTGTTACAGTGTTAATATTCACTCTCGGGGAATTGATTCGGGCCGCCGCCCTAGGAACCACATCTTTGTCCAGAGCCAGCTCATTTCATCTGCAGCCACCAAATGCCCTTGTGTGTCAAGGCTCGGGAGGTTCTTCTCGCTGGCCAGCCATCGGCAAGAATGCCAGACTCAGAGGTTGCCATTGCCCACAGGTTTTCTTCCCTCCATTCACAACAAGAAGAGCCTTCCAGAGCCTCAGAATGCAGAGTGGAAGTGGTGGGACCCAGGAAGCCTGGGCTCTGATGGGTGGGCCTGACTATGGACCTTCTTCTCCCTAGGTCAGAGGGGTGTGGGTGCCCCTGGAGGGAATGCTGAGGTCACATCTGGCCAAATCTTCCTGTTCTGCCAGTACCCAGCCCTGTTCAGTGACCTCAAGGTTTTGAGTCCCTGTTCTGGGGCCCTCCACGCTGGCCAGGCTGTGCAGAGATGCCCTTCTCTTCACTTTATTGGGTCCAGGTTGTCATGTGGCTTCTCCCCTCCTCTGTAGCCTGGGGTCTGAAAACAGCATGAGAGATAGACAGAGTTCTAAAAGAAAGGTCCCACTCTGCCAAGGTCAAAGGGGCCTGGCAGAGGGGGTCAGGAAGCTGAGAGTCTACCAGACAGTGCCTTCTGCGCCCATGGGCACAGCTTTCCAAGAAGCACATCCACATTGTCCCCAGGTCCAGATGCCACATTGCCCTGCAGGGACCAAGACCACACTCTGGCTGCTCAGACAGGCATAGCAGGTCACTGTCCTGTAGCTGGCCCTTCTGTATCCTTTGACAATTAGCTTGAGCCTCTCTGCCAAGTCTCCACCTTCTGTTCTTCTTGCCCACCCTTGAAGCAGACTTGACATTTCGGGTTTTTCCAGCAGTCAGTCAAAGCTCACCCAATCTGACTGTGGAGGTTATTTTATTTTATTATTATTTTTTTTTGAGACGGAGTTTCGCTGTTGTTACCCAGACTGGAGTGCAATGGCACGATCTTGGCTCACTGCAACCTCCGCCTTCTGGGTTCAAGCAATTCTCCTGCCTCAGCCTCCCGAGTAGCTGGGACTACAGGTGCGCACCACCGCGCCCAGCTAATTTTTGTATTTTTAGTAGAGACGGGGTTTCATCTCATTGACCAGGATGGTCTTGATCTCTTGACCTCGCGATCCACCCGCCTCGGCCTCCCAAAGTGCTGGGATTACAGGCGTGAGCCACCGCGCCCGGCCTAGGTTGTTAATTTCACCATCAACCCAACCTCATGTTGAGGAACCAGCTCCAAGTGCTCACTTGGCTGCCAGGGATGGGGAGCCTCATGGGTGAAAGAGGGCTGCGATGGCATAATTTAAATCACAAGAGGCGTTTGCAGTTGCCCGTGTTGCCCCAGGTCTGCTGGCCTCCTGCTGTGAATGTTTTGGGCAATACCGTCTCTGCCAGGGACCCCCAATTGTACACATGTCCCCAGCAGGATCCAGGCTGGAAACAATGTGCCATTTCTGACAACCTGGGTGAATGTTGGTTTCAAATCATCAGCTGATTCAGGTGCTCTGCTCAATGCTGGCTCACTCTTCGAGAATAGCTGCCTGCCTGGGCACGCTGCTGTTGCTGCCTCCCGAAAGACAGATTCCGGGGTGCCAGGTCATCCAGGCTGGATGTGGCTTGGGAGTGACTTGCGGCACCAGGTTGGAGGGAGGTCTCACCTCCCCTCTCTGAGCTGTGGACTGCAGCTTCAGGACCCAGCGGATGAGGCTGGATGTCATGAAGATAATGGAATCTGGAATCTCAGCAAAGCCAAGCCACGTGCCAGAGATTCACCACCTGGGGCCCAGGATTGGAAGTGTGTCCCTTAGGAGGCCAAGCACCTACCTGTCTGCCAACTAGGCATTTGGTCTCAAATAGCAAGAAAGGCCATGCTTATGTCGTTGTGGGGAAAGCCATGGTCTTCGGCATGAGAGAGGAGTACTTCTCGAGCTTGTCCCCCACAAGAGGAAACAATTTGGCAGGTTGAAGAACACACGCTTTGGTGGTTCTCAGAGGCTGTTGCGAATCTTGGAAACTCAAGCCCCAGTGCACACGGCCTCGAAGAAGGCCGAGCATCACGGTTCCAACAAGTGACTTGCTTTGATTACCCAATATGTAAGTAGAATTGCGATGCTTCCATCCTTCCCTAATCATCAGGTGGCTGTCGTCTGGTCAGTGAACTGAAGCCCAAAGGCTTGAGTTGCACTGGCTTTCAAGGCCGGGCTGATGGGATTTATGTATTTCTTGAGCCCCATTGGAGGCTTTTGGCGAGTCTGAACATTAAACATTTCTTGTCCTCCTTTTGCACGCTGCTCCAACCGAAACACAGTTGGAGAGAACTAGCTCCATGTATGTCTGTGTTGTAAATGGGAAATTGGCTACCCCGTAACTTCCCATTGTCTCCTGAGAGGTTACAAAGTGTGTTACAGATATTAGCAAGTGTTAATCCTCACAATGGCCCTGGGAGGGAACCAGAAGTATTATAGATGAAGACGTTGAGGCACAGAGAGGTGAGGCCACTGGGAAGAAGCCACACAGCTTAACAGTGGCAGGTCAAGAAAAGGGCTGGGGTTCTCCCCACCAGCACTGAATAACTTTGCTCTGTGGAGTCTGTGTCTCGGCTAGGACCTTGGTGAGCATTCCTGTGTTTCAGGTGACAGGGACATCACAGGTTTGTTGGGTTAACATGTCAAGCATTTCTCTGCCCCAGATCCCAGACTTACCACCACGCTCCATACCATTGTCACTGAGTGAAGATAATGGGGTTTAGAATCTCAACGAAATCAAGTCACAGGCCAGAGATTCACCATATGGGGCCATCGGCCATCCCTGATCTTGTCGTCCCAGTATCTTTAATATTGGTGATAGGATATCTGCATCTCCTAGAAATGTGGCTGCTAGGTCCCACCCCTACACGGATCATTCCCTGGTATCCCCTCAGTGTAGCCACTCCGGGGTGGATCAGCAAACAGCTCTTCAACACATCCACCCCCATGCGTCGCAGAGCTTTTCAGGTGAAAGGAATGACCAGCCCCCATTTTACATTCTCCCAAGAGAGATTTAGGGAGTCAGATCAGGACCCAAGTTCTTGGTCAAGGAGGGCAAGGAGGCTGCAGCGTCCCCCACCCCTGCCCTGTCCGACATCTTGGCAAGAGGCAGCACTTCCTGCACCCAGATCTGCCCGCTCTGAGTGCTGCCAGTGCACTGGGTGCTGGGGTGTGGGGTTGGGGTCCCCCCTGCTCCTTCTAGAAGGGTGTTTTGGGAAACTGTGGGCCTCTTCCCACCTTGGCAGCTCAGTTTAAGGCTCCAGGGACTGCTTGGCTGCTCCACAGTGACGGCCACTCTGAAGTGGGGCCTGCGTATCCTGGATGGAGGCGGGGCTGGACACTGTGACAGGTCCTCTGGGCCAGTCTCCAGTTGAGCAGGGAAGTCCATGGCTCACCCAAGGCAGGTGTGCTGGTGTCTTCTCTCCTGGGCGCTGTGCATCTGAAACCACAGAGTTCGTTGGAATTTTGCCCAGGAGCAGGGGACATCCTTAGCCTGCAGCCGCTATGTACAGTGGGAACGACCCCTGGGGCCATCTGGCTGCTCTTCCTTCCTGGGTCTCTCGTGATGGGTCTGGTGGAACCACCAGGTCCTTACACATTGGTGACCTCCAGGCTGTTGTAGCCTTCCAGGCGGCACTGTTCCAGCCTGCTCTGGGGGTCATCATCTCCGCAATCTTCATTTTGAAGAGAGCCATAGTCGTCATGGAAATCGGGGTCTTTGCTGCTGAAGCCCCTTCCTATCTTCCCCAGGGGCAGCTGAGAAGACAAGAATATGATCAAAGGACAGGAAGAAGAGAAACAAGAATTAAGAATTGAGGTCTGGGAAACGTCTCCCACTCTAATTGCTGTGTGACCTTGAGTAACGGCCTCTGTGTGCTCCTCCTCTTAGTAATAACACTCCCTGCTCAGGGAGACTGAGAGGAGTTTGTGAATGACCACTAGGGGAGAGTTTTGTGTCCCCACCCGGAAGGATTCAGTTGGTTGCCAAGGTTGAGGACAAATGTCGTCGGTCTAATTATTCCTGATTGAAAAAGTCTCCTTCTTCCCTCGTTGGTGGGTAAAGAGTTGAGGAAGTGTGTCCTGGAGACTACCTGTGAGAATGTCTGAGCAGGCCCGTGAGGTCTCACTGCTTTCCCAAGTCAAGGAGGAATATTCTAGATGGCCTGGTGTGGCAGAAAGAATGCGGGTTTTGGAGACTCATCGACCCAGGTTCGGATCCCTGCTCTGCCACTTCTCAGAGGTGTGACCTTGGACAAGTCACTTCCCCTCTCTGAGCCCATTTTCTCAGCTCCAAAATGGGAATAGTCATTTCTAACTCCCAAGTTTGTGGTAAAAAGCAAAGTCCCACCAGTCTGGCCAACATGGTGAAACCCTGTCTCTCCCAAAAATATAAAAATTAGCTGGGCATGGTGGCGTGCTCCTGTAGTCCCTACTACTCAGGAGGCTGAGGCATGAGAATTGCTTAAACCCAGGAAGCAGAGGTTGTAGTGAGCTGAGATCGCGCCACTGCACTCCAGCCTGAAAGACAGGGGGAGACCCTGTCTCAAAAAAAAAAAAAGTAAACTCCCGTAGTAAGTGCTTAATGGATAGTAATTCTTCTTATCTCACACAGTAGGCCTTCAAAATCTCTTAACTATTATTATCACACACAGTAGCCCTTCAACATACATCTCTCTTATTGCACACATCTCTGCGTTACAGGAGTCACATTAGTGCCTTGTAACTATTTATTTGACTGCCTTTCTTTCTGGGCCAGTGATTCCCAATCTTCTTTTTTTATTATTATCATGGCTCCCTAAGGAGACCTTTAGACAGCTTCTTCCTCACTGCACCCCAGCTGTGAAATTTTAATGCCACAGACATACTACGCTCTGCTATGTACCACATGTACATTGGTGCTTTTACATAGAAAGAATAAGACTTTTTGCCACCCCCACCACCCCCTGCCACCGCCAAAACAAATTGCACTCTTTTGGGGGCAATATCAGCCCCAGTGACTAGAATGCACATTCTAGAATGTGCTTCTTAAGGGTAAAGTGGCAATGTATTCATGTTTATGAATGAATTCTTCAAACAGAAGAAGTTTTGGATTACCCAGTTCTGCCATCTGTGTCTGCGCATTTCCATGGAGGAATCTGTGTCTGTTGAAGTCTGTGCGATTGAACCTGAGCTGCACGTGTTTTTATACTGTTTGCCTGGAGTCACCACAGGTTCATCTTAGCTATTAGTGAGGTCACGGATGTCCCAGATCGATATCAGTGATTGCAGCTCAGCGTTTGGAGCTGTGCTGGAACCCTCTGGGCAGTCTGGCTAAAAGTGGGATCCACCTTGCCCCAGAGATCTCGTGCTCCAGGAGGCCATGGTGGGTCCCAGAATCTGTTCGTTCAGTAACAGGTGAGTCTGATGCAGGCAGGTGAGACCTGCACCTTGAGATCCAGGCCACTACTCAAAGCCTTGCGGGGGCCTCTGCACTGTACCTGAAGCATCGTGAAGGTTCCTTGAAGGTATATTGAAGTCATCTCTCCTGGATGCCCCCATGACCCAGCCTGGCACTCCACCTTCACAGGCCAACCCAGGAGCCATGGAGGTGCAGCCGGGAGGAGAAAAAAGACCTTTTCTGGGTCTGCAGGATGCAGGCAAATGCATCGAGGCACTTACCCGGCCAGCCTTGTACTTGAGACCGCTGCTGTTCTCCTCCTTCCCTGCCCGTGTGACGCTGGAGGCCCTGCCAGGGGGTGTTCCAAAACGCTCAGCCTCCCGGATGCCAGTGGAGCTGGGGAGAGGCCCATTTTGAGTCAGCAGGGGAGGCTCAATCACCAACCCAGAGACACAAGCACACTGGTGACAATGACCATGGCTGCTGAGACTGACTGATGACCTCCCATGTGCCATCCTTGTGCTCAGTGCTTTATAAGTGTGATTCTCACAATATGCCTGGGGCTTGGGGCTGCCAGCCCAGCATTACAGATGAGGGAAAGGAGGCCAGAGACAGCGAGCAATTTGCCCAAGATGACACAGCTATAAATGGCAGAATCAAGATCTGAACTCAGTCCTCCAAAGTCTTGCTCTTAACTCTTGCAACCCTTACTGCAAAAGACTTGAGATGAGAATCTCAGCATGGTAGCTAACTAGTTGTGCTTGGAGAAGCATGAGGAGTCTCCGTGCTTCAAATTTGCAATCTGTGTTCCCTACCTGACTTTCTACCTGAAGTTACCCCCATGACTCCCTTCTTTGTGCAAAGGCATTGAAGCTTCCATTAGAATAGGATTTAGCCAACTACAGCCTGCCTGCTGGCCAATTGCAGCTGGCAGACTGATTTGTTAAATAAAGTTTTATTGGAACTCAGCTGTGCTCATTTACTTACATGTTGTCTATGACAGCTGTCTTGCTATAAGGACAGAGTTGTAGACTTTTGACAGAGATCATTCTCTGGCCTTTCACAGAAAAAGTCTGCATATTGATGCTGTGGATAAAGAGAGTCGGGGCAAGAGGCCCAGCCAGGAGCCAGACTCTCCACAGAGGTAGAATCATTAAAAGAAATGAAACCTCTAGGCCGGGTATGGTGGCTCATGCCTGTAATCCCAGCACTGTGGGAAGCCATGCGTGTGGATCACTTGAGGCCAGGAGTTCAAGACCAGCCTGGTCAACATGGTGAAACCCCATCTCTGCTAAAAGTACAAAAAGAATTAGTTGGGCATGGTGGTGAACACCTGTAATCCCAGCTACTCTGAAGCTAAGGTTGAACCTCAGGAGAATCCCTTCAACCCTGGAGGTGGAGGTTGCACTGAGCCAGGTTCGCAGTGGCACTGCTCTCCAGCCTGGGCTACAGAGTGAGACTCTGTCTCAAAAAAAAAAAAAAAAAAAAAAAAGGCCTGGTGCGGTGGCTCACACCTGTAATCCCAGCACTTTGGGAGGCCAAGGCAGGTGGATCACAAGATCAAGAGATCGAGACCATCCTGGTCAACATGGTGAAACCCCGTCTCTACTGAAAAATACAAAAAAAATTAGCTGGGCATGGTGGCGCGTGCCTGTAATCCCAGCTACTCGGGAGGCTGAGGCAGGAGAATTGCCTGAACCCAGGAGGCGGAGGTTGCAGTGAGCCGAGATTGCGCCATTGCACTCCAGCCTGGGTAACAAGAGCGAAACTCCGTCTCAAAAAAAAAAAAAAAAAAGAAACTTCTAGCATCTTTTAAGCTGCCTCAGAGAAGTTCTTCTTCTGGGGCAAATTTTGCTGAGAAAGTTCCAGGGAGGGGAGTGGTGTATAGGAGACAGCACTGATTGAATGGAAAGGGAGCCACATTCTCAAACCCACGGATTCCACAGGCTTCCACGTAACAGGGAGGCCCTTGCTCAATGGTGGGTCAGGAAATGAGATCTTCATGAATACCCTCTCTCCTCTACCTGGAGACGAAATTCTCCAGGTCCAGTGAGGAAGCAGTTTTAATGACAGAAGCCACAGAATCTGCCATGTTGCCCAGGCTAGTCTCGAACTTCTGGGCTCAAGTGATCTACTGGCCTCGACCTCCCCAGGTGCTGGGATTACAAGCCTGAGCCACTGTGCTTGGCCAGCCCTGGTCTTAACAAGCTATCCCCTGCATAGAAAGTGGGTGCCTTTCTGTAGACAAAGAGGTATGGAGTGATCTTGGCCCCCACTGTGCCAAAATATTCTCCCTCATTTTTTTCCACCGTGGCTGAAATCCCCCGCCCCGCCCCAATCTAGGCCTTCGGATTAAATCCCATGAAAACACAAAAGCCCCAGGGGATAAGCCAAGCACAGGGCTAAGGTCTTTGGAAGGTTTGAACTGACCTATTAAGTATTTCTAGTCACTTAGACCTCGAGGAAATGGTACGTTGGAAGGAGACCTTTTGATGAGGGAACGTTGTGGAGAACGGGGCATCTCACTGGAATCTCCTGAGTCAACATAGGGCATCCCAGGCACTAAATAGGCATTGTGGTACAGGAAGGAAGGTTAGGGGATGGGAGCCAGCCTCTGCCAGCTGGGCCAGCTGAGTGTTGAGTCTCAACCCATTAGCCAAGGATTTACAAGGCCAGAGAGGTGTAAGATGCTGTAGTGGGGGAAAATGAATGGGAAGGAAAGAGTACTCATGGGCCACCCCCATGTGCTGGCACACTGTCAGCTCCTCACCACAGTGGCTCAGTAAACCCTCTGCAAAGCCGTGGGAAGAAGAAGTGATCATCCCCATTGCAAGCTGAAAAAACTGCGACTCAGAAAGGGTAAGGTTCTTGCCTCAAAGACTGGATAAAGAAAATGTGACACATATACTCCATGGAATACTATGCAGCCATAAAAAGCATGGGTTCATGTCCTTTGCAGAAACATGGATGAAGCTGGAAACCATCATTCTCAGCAAGCTGACACAAGAACAGAAAACCAAACACCTCATGTTCTCACTCATAAGTGGGAATTGAACAATGAGGACGCATGGACCCAAGGAGGGGAACATCACACATGGGGGCATGTTGGGGGGTGGGGGGCTAGGGGAGGGAGAGCATTATGAGAAATACCTAATGTAGATGATGGGGTGATGGATGCAGCTAACCACCATGGCACGTGTATACCTATGTAACAAACCTGCATGTTCTGCACATGTGCCCCAGAACTTAGAGTACAAGAAAAAAAAATGCAGCCTCAAAGACCCCACTGGGCCCCATGACACACAGGCCCACACCTCTGGGCACTGAGCTGACCCAGTGTCTGGAGTCTGGGCTCACATTTCAGGGATGGTCTGAGGGTGGAGTGGGGCAGAATCTCATACAAGCTCAATGTGTCCTTCCACCACCATTTGGGTGGCCTGCTGAGTGACCGGAGAATAAATGTTTTCCATCGCCCCTGTCTTGGGAAGTCTGTCAGCCAAGGAGGTGGAACAGGTGACAAGGTTCTTTTATTCTGTGTTGGAGGGTCAATTCTATTTGAGTTTGTAATGGAATTGTTCTTCTCCATTGGAATGCTAATGAGAATGCTGGAGCAAATTGACAGGAGACTCCCGTGCAGCTATTCCAGAGGAAATTGTTGACTGCTTGGAGATTCTTCTGTCTCCAGATGAAGGCAGGGGCAGAAGCTGTCAGTTACTGAGGGCATCTATGCATCAAACAGGCTGCATACACTTTGCCTCACTGAACCTTTGTAACAAAGCTACAAGGTCGGTATGAGTCACCTGCCCTATTACAGAGGAAGAAACTGAAGCTCAGAGAGGTAAAACCACTTGCTCATGTTCAACACAGCAAGAAAGCGGTGATGCTGGGACTCGAAGCCACATTGCAGCCATTACCCTGCAGAGGAGGAACGGGAGGCAGCAGTTGTGGGGCTAGGGCTGGGTTTGGAATAAATCGCTTTTTATATTATTGGGTGTCTTTTGATGTACTGGTCCCTTTGCCAATTGCTTTATGTATTGTCTTACCTCATCTTGCTATCTTTGGGTGGCAGATACTGATTACCATACTCATTTTGCAAATGAGGCGAGTAGGGTTCAGAGAAGTTAAGTAACTTGCCCAACGTCACACAGCGGGGATTGGTGCTGCTGGGGTTTGAACCTGGGTTGCCTGGGGCTAGCTAGAGTGCCACAAGGTGTTCTGGATGGGTTTATGTCTTCACTTAGATGTCTATGAAACTAGTCTTGACTGGATGGAAGACAAAGCCTTTCTTGGATGAGCAGAGACCCTCAGAGCTCTATTAAAAGAAGGGAAAGAGAGAAAACCTGGAGTGGGAGCAGGCCCTGGGCTGGAACTCCACACCATCCACCTGTGAGGGCTTCTCCCCTCTCTGTAAGCTTCCTGAGGACAGGACATGGGTCACTCCAAAGCCTGTGCACAGCAGGTGTTCAATGACTGCGCGGGGTAGCTTTCATGGCAAAAGGAGCGCTATTCTAGCCTAGATCCCAGGAGAGAGAAATCAGTTCCATAAAGAGTTTCTGACTAGTAGTCTGTATGTCCTGTCCCTGACTGTTTTAGTGACTGGACCTATTGCCTTCAAGGCACAGGTGGGGACTGATCACGAATTTTCATCGAAATGTTTGTTTTGGCTCCTCCAGTTCCCTGGCAATTGGGATACCCCTGCTCCTCGTGGTATTCTTCCTGCCCACTAAGGACCTGGTTTTATTCTCCAGGCCCTTAATGCACAGTCCTGTGACTGACACATTGTTGGTGCCAGACCAAGGTTTATTGGGAGATGCAGGAAGTCAGTATGTGTCAAAGCAGATACCGTGAGACCGTGGCAGAGACTTCTCCTTGGCGCCTTTGGGTCACGTGCATTGACAAAGTGGTGGGAGGAGGCTGGAGATGACGTCATATTGGGACCCATAAGCTCTTGGTGAATGTGGACATGGGCTAAGTCATTTCCCTCTTATCTTGTCATTGGGAGGTTCTTTGCTTTCATCTCATTCTTGAAGGAGTCCCTGCCCTACAAAAACATAAGAACCCACCCTACTTGTCCCCAGCAGTCCCTTCTCTGGTGCTCCCTGACTAGTCTTAGACAGTCCTGAACACACCGGTCACCCCATGGGTGGTTAAGGGTTTCATCAGATTCATGAATGCCTGCTAATATTTAGCTAGAGCCACCTTTCCAGGGCTCAGAAAAGTCTGTTACAGCTCATGTGGCTCCAGAAGGGAGGTTAGGGGAAGCGGATGATTCTGAGGAGAAAAGCCTTTTTCCTCGGTCTTTTGATTCATCGCTTCTGGAAGAGGGTTTTGTTTTTGTTTTTTCTGTTTTGTAGAGACGGACTCTTGCTCTGTTGCCCAGGCTAGAGTGCAGCAGCAGAATCATAGCTCACCGAAGCCTCACACTCTTGGGCTCAAGTCACCCCCCGCCTCAGCCTCCTGAGTAGCTGGGATCGTATGGGGCACTCCCCCAACCACCCCCAGCTAGTTTTTAAAATTTCTAGTAGAGACAAGGTCTCCCTATGCTGCCCAGGCTGATCTTGAACTCCTGAGCTCAAGCAATCCTCCTGCCTCAGCCTCCCAAAGTGCTGAGATTGTAGGCATGAGCTACCATGGCTGGTCTGAAATAGAGTTCTTATCAAACACTGTCTCCATAAGAACCACCCCAAAATTCTAAAAATGTAGATCCCCATGCTCTGCCAGCTGATACTGGTCCTGCAAATCTGAGATAGGACCAGGTAATCTGCATTTTACAACAGCATCAATGATTCTGCTGCAGGGGTCTGTGGTCCTCACTTTGAGAACAGCTTGGGTGTCAGCCTGCCAGTGGGGAAGAGCAGTGCGGGACACCTGGGCCCTGCCATACACACACAATTTTTTCTTAAGCCTCAGTTTCTCCACCTGTATAACATGGGGAGTGGCCCAGCTGCTCCCTAAGGCCCCGTGTGGTTTGGGGGTTTAGCACTCAGGCCTGAGTTAGAGAGCCCTAGGGTCACATCTGGGCTCTGACAACAAAATCAACAAACCTTTAGATAGGCTGGAAAAAAAAAAGGACAACACTCAAACTCAGATCACTAAAACCAGGAGCGAGTGAATGAGTGACAGAATATGACTATGAGCATTATAGAAATAAGAGGCGTTGTAAGATAACAATTATGTCATCAACTGCATGCCACCAAATTAGATAACGCAGACAAAATGGACACATTTCTAGAAAGATATAAGCTACTGAAACTGCCTCAAGAAGAAATAGAAAATCGGAATAGACCACTAACGAGTGAGGAGATTGAATTAGAAGTCAAAAAGCTTCCCAGAAAGAAAAGCCTAGGACCAGAGGGCTTCTGTAATGCAAAGCACCATGATGCAAAGAATAAGTGGGAGGCAGGAAGTGATGGGCCAGGATGGGGAGCTGGACCATCTGCTTCCAAAGCCCTGAGCTGCTGTACTGTACCCAGCAGCCCACACCACCGGAGCCCGGCCTGTGCTCACTTAGCTGGGTGGAAAATGGCGCTCATCTCCTCCGCCAGGTGTCTCCGGAGGATGTGTTTCCCACTGGGGATGCCCAGGGCTGTGGCCATGGCCTCAGCGTTGAACGTTGGCTCCAGCACCAGCACAGCCCCATGGACACCGCTGTTGGTCAGGTTGTCTGCGTACTCCTGGGGGCAAAGGCAGAGGGCTGGTTAGTCTGCAGGAGCCATGCTGCTGGCCTGAGGGGGCTGCAGTTTTAAGTGGGACTCTGTCCCCAACAGCAAGGGCTTGACTCCCTGGGGACCAGTTAATTTGATGGTGAAGAGAAACCCCTCCCCCATTTTTTTAGAACCACAAGGGCAGGGACCACCTATTACTGAGATGGCCCCTGACCCTAGCAGGAAGTCATCAATATTTATTAAAGAATCTCAACCCCAACTTGCTTAGGAGAGTGGGGCTGGCTCAGCCTCCCTGCCCCATGTGAGAAAAGCATCATGGGTAAGCAGTTCTCTCTTCCTGAGTGACAAGAGGCAGGTAATTCTTGCTGGGCCTGGGTTAAGATGCCCCAGCCCACACAAAGGGGATATTAATTTGTGTGGGATTTGCCTATAGATTTGCATGTGATCTGCATATTGATTTGCATGGGATTTTCATATTGATTGCATGCAGATTTGGATGGGATTTGCATATGGCCAAGAACCAGCCCGGCTCCCACCATCAACCTCACCTTCAGGTCAATGTCTCGAACCCACTTGAGCACCCGCTGGTTGGTCCACACCACAGGGTCAGTGTTCTGCATCTCGCAGCGGGCTCGGCGCTCCTGGAGGGCCTTGTGGGGAGACAGTGGGTCAGTCAGAGAGACAAGGGGACACACAGAGGCCACGTGTAGAGTGGGGGCCCATTGCACCTCTTTTTTCCTGAGATGGAGTCTTGCTCTGTCGCCCAGGCTGGAGTGCAGTGGTGCGATCTTGGCTCACTGCAACCTCAACCTCTGCCTCCCAGGTCAAGCAATTCTCCTGCCTCAGCCTCCAGAGTAGCTGGGATTACAGGTGCCCACCATCACACCTGGCTACTTTCTTTTTGCACTTTTAGTAGCAATGGGGTTTCACCATGTTGGCCAGGCTGGTCTCGAACTCCTGACCTTGTTTGTGATCTACCCACCTCGGCTGCCCAAAGTGCTGGGATTACAGGCGTGAGCCACCAGGCCTGGCCCCTGCACTTCTTTTTACATGTAACTGCTGTGATCTCCTACAACTGCCTCCTCAGCAAACTGAGGCCTGGGGCGAGGGCCCATGTCCTTGTCACTCCTTGTCCTCGGCATGGCATGGAGAAGGCACTGCTGCTTTCTTGCTCCACACCGAAAGCTCCAACTTTGCCCAGAGCCACACAGCAGCACATCTTGGAGTCAGAATGAAAACCCATGTGGCTGATTCCAAGTCCTCCCTCACCACCTCACCGCCATATCACAGGCTTCCTGGGTCCCACAGGGAGTGACCCCAGTGCCATGCACACAGTAGGTACACAGCAAATGTTTTCCAGTGGGTGTTTGAGAAGGGGGACAAAGGACTGGTTGGCCCCCTCTTCTGTTCCTCTTCTCCTGACCTTGAATTGCTTGGGCTCTGACATCACTCTACCTGGACTCAGTGCCACAGGGCCCAGCAGCTCAGGCCCCTGGTGACCTCTGCAGCACCCGCTTCACCACTCCCCACCTCAAAGCCAGCACCCCACCCAACAGGACTCTGCTGCCATGGATCAGTCCTCTGGGCCTTTGCCATGCTGTTCCCTCTGCTGGGTTGCTTTTCCCCTCATGTCTTCTATTGATTCCTGGGCTCCTCCTTCAGATCTCAGTTTACTCATTGCTATCTCTGGGGAGCTGTCCCTGAGTCTGCTCTTTTTTTTTTTTTTTTTTTTTTTGTGACAGTTTCGCTCTTGTTACCCAGGCTGGAGTGCAATGGCGCGATCTCGGCTCACCGCAACCTCCGCCTCCTGGGATCAAGCAATTCTCCTACCTCAGCCTCCTGAGTAGCTGGGATTACAGGCACGTGCCACCATGCCCAGCTAATTTTTTTGTGTTTTTAGTAGAGACGGGGTTTCACCATGTTGACCAGGATGGTCTCAATCTCTTGACCTCGTGATCCACCTGCCTCGGCCTCCCAAAGTGCTGAGATTACAGGCGTGAGCCACTGCACCTGGCCTCTTTTATACATAAATAACAAACATTTAAAACATTTTAAAATTTATTTTTATTTTTTTGTTGGTATGCATAGTAGGTGTGTCTTCTCTAGTGTTCATAAAGCCCTGGGCTTCCCTCATTGGGACAATGTCCCACAATATTGGCACCACCCACTTCCTTGTGGTTCTCTCTGATAAGCAGGGAGCTCTCCAAGGATGAGGGCTCCCATTTCCCTTGCCCTGAGCACAGCGCCTGCCTCATGCCCAGTAGGGGGTTGTTGGAAGGAAGGCAGGCAGGAGAGAGGATGTTGCTGGCTGGCTGGATGATGGATGGATAGGTAGAGGGATGGACAGATGATCAATAGACAATGGATGGCTGGATGATGGGTGGATGGGTGACAGATGAATAGATCGGTGGTGGGTGGACAGATGAACAGACAGTAGATGCCAAGGGGAGGGGTGAGCAGGGGAAGGTGCCCCCACCCTGTGCCCTGGTCCTCACCTCCCTGCTGAAGTTCACTTGGTACAGCAGCTCGATCCCCAGCAGGATGCTGACCTGGTGGAATTTCTTGGACACGTTCAGGTGCTTCTCCAGGTCTCGCTTCATCAGGGAATTCAGCATCCGCCCATCAACCAGGTGGTTCTGGAAGGCCTGGGAGTACTGGGACAGACCGATGTCATTCAGCCAGGCCTTGGCCACCCAGTGATGGTCCAGCTCGGCAGCTTTGGACAGGCTGGGGAGGAGACACCACCAGAGAGTGGATGGGTGGGGAAAGGCGGCAGAAACAGAGGGACGGGTGGAGATGCAGAGAGAAGAAAAGCAATGGGGAAGGGGAGGACTGAGAGAGCCATAGAGACAGACATGGACAGGGATGGAGCCGAGAGATCGAGAGGAAAAAAGAGAACAAAGACAGAGCAGAGATGGGGAGAGAGGTGGATGGAAGAGGAAGACAGAGAGAGAGAAAGGGACGGGGAGAGAAGGGACACAGAAAGAGAGAACCAAAAGAAAGAAGCAGAGGGAGATGGAGAACAAAGAGGAAGAGGCAGAAAGAGAGAAAGAGAGGCAGAAAGAGAGAGAGAGACAAAGAGAGAGAGGCAGAAAGAGAGAGAGAGAGACTCAAGGGATCAACAGAAAAACACAAACAAACTGAAGGGAACAGGAAGAGAAAATCCGAGAATCCCACATGCAGATGCAGTGAGGGTGAGAAGGCACAGGGGTGGGGAGCAGAAGGGCCATGTGCGGCGGGAGGCAGCACCTCTGGGGACCCCGCCCCTCTGCCTAAGCCCCCCTCATTTCCCTGGGGGCCTCCACAGCATCCCCAAGACCCATAAAGCTTGGGCTTGGCCTACTCGATTGGCACATCCCTCCCCAGCGCTCTGTGGTCTGTTCCCCTGTTTTGGGGTTGTTGGGTGTCCCTTCAGGTGCGCCAGACAGTCCCGATCGTGCATGAAGAAGGCACTGCTGCCGTCCTTGCTCTACAGATGGGACGCTCTGACTTTGCCTAGAGCCACACAGTGGCCCATCTTGGAGTCAGAATTAAAGTCCACGTCTGGCTGATTACGAACCCTCTGTCTTACCACTGCACTGCCGGGTCTCAGATTCCCCTGTGCCCCACATATCAATGACCCCTGTACCATGTATACAGCAGGTGCACAAGTGCTTGAATTTTTAAGCCGGTGGGGTGTCTGTGCATGGCTGTCATTCCTCCGCCAGCCACACAGTGGCAGCCTTGCAGAAGGAATGAGGACTACTGCATCACACCTGCAAGGGACTGCAAAATGCCCCAGGCTTGACAGGTGGGAGAGCACTGGTCTAAACTGGAGCCACAGGGGGCCACAAATCGATCAGTACATGAAAGGGAAAGTGGTAGGCTTGCAAAACCACTCCACTTTGCTCCTGGGGCAGCAGCCAGAGATGGCTGGGCATGCCACCCTCCTGCTGAGGGTCCTGGGTGGGTTCTCTCTGTCCTTCCTGCCTTTATGCCTATGCATTGAGCATCGCCTGATCGCCCTGCTGGGGTACATGCTGCTATATAATGCGCTCCTTTTCCTTCCTAACCCCTCCCCTCTTTCTCTGGGCACTCTTGGCTCTGTATTACCTATTGCCAGGGCTCTGGAAGGCAACCTTGAGGGAGGACTCCCAAACTCACCACTCTCTTCTGAGCATCTAAGCTCTGAGCTCTTTTCTGAGCTCCTCTTTCCTCTCTCAGCCTCTAACTGCCCTATCGATGCCTCCTGGCTGTCACAGACGTGTCATACTTAATGGCTCAGCTGTTCCCCTTCACTGTCACTGTCACCAGGGGCCCTTCTCTGTCACCCAGCTCCCAAGCTGGGAGCCCGTCCTTGTCTATCAGTCACTCTGGTCAGTGCATCCTCTGTCCCCTTCTCGCCTGTCCAAGCTCTAAGCCGCAGCCATCTCTGGTGTGGGTTTCTGCCACTGTCCCTGACTGCCCCCTGTTTCTTGCCTTAGCTTCCCTTCTATTCCACACTCCCCAGGACTGTCAGGGGGTCCTTTAAAAATGTCAATCTGATTATGCACTCCCCTGCCTAACACTCCATGGCTTCCCTTTGCAAGAATAAAATTGGAAGTCCTTTGAGTGTTCCACGAGGGTCATCCGCACTGACCCTGGCTGACTTCCCCTCTCCCAACGCACATGGGGCTCAGGCTCTGGGGGGCTGTTTCCTGGAGGCACTGACCTCTTCACCCCCCACTCCCCTCCCCAACCCAGGACTCACTCCTCCTCACCCCTTGGGCATCAAATCTCCCTGTCCTCTGAATCTCCGGTCTAAAACTGCCCCCAAGTCTGCTCACTGTCCCTAGCGCTTTCCTTCAACGCTCTAATCACACATTGAATCTTAGCAATTAACTGGTGTGTCCACTCGTTTATTTTCTCTCTTCCCCACCTTAGCAGATAAGCTCTGCCAGTACAGAAACTGTTCAGTGCCAAACAGCGCAGTGCTACGGCACAGTAGGCACTGATGGAATGCTTGCTGGAAGAATGGCTAAGAGAAGGGTGGGCCCCCAGCTTGGCTTCACTCTCCTTCCCTCTGCCCCTTGGCCTCCCAGAACCACTTGGGTCCACCGGGGGCCCCTTGTCTCCTGGCCTGTTCTTCACCCCACGCTCTTCCCCTGGTGAGCTCCTATGGACTCCGCAGAGATGTCTGATCTCCTGGAAGCCTTTGAAGATGCCATGCTGGGTCTCTGCGCCCGAAGCCCCTGAAAGTTCACCCTTCTCTGTGCCATCCCTTCTCAGTTCCCATCCCTGGACCAGTCACACTGTGGTTCACGGCTATGCATCTGGCCAGCTGCCTCACTGGACAGTCAGCTCCTGGAGGGCAGGACTGGGGGTGGCTTATCTGTGAATGTCCAGGGCCCCTTCAGACTCAGAGTTCAGCTCACCAGTGTTTGTTTCACAGTTTAATGTGTGGATGATGGAGCAGGGCTGGGTGGGTGGGGCATTTGCCCCAGTCCACCTGGAGGCCGCCCAGCTGGAGCTCCTGAACTGGAACCTTCTGGCCCAAGACAACCTCCCTTCTAGGATGAAAAGGTCCTGGGGCAGTACCCCTCCCAGCCCCTCAAGGACCAGGCTCAGCCTTGTTACAGGAGGACCGGAGGTGGGGCCCACAGCCCTCTGAATCAGATGCCACTGGGCCAGGTTTGTCACTGATGGAGACTAGAATGGACTCCCCTCCTCTCTGGAGCAAGAGTTTGCTCAGCAAATCAGTGGTGCAACAAGAGTTGGGGTGGGGAGCTGGGGAGGGGGCACCCCACTTAACCTACTCGGGAGAGGCCCATCCATAATCTGCCATCTCCGTCTGCATGTCCACAATTAATGTGCTCCTGCCCTTCAGAAATGTTCTCTTTTCATTAACGTTGTCCCCGTGGGGCCCCAGCTTGGCAATACGTTGCCAGCTGTTGGTTTGAGCTATTTATTGTAAGAGCCCAAGTCGAAAAAAAAGGATGATTTTAAAAGAAATTCAGACATTTTATAAAATTTGTCACTGCCCCGTCCCTGAACTGGAGCCAGATTAGTCTCTGAAATCCGAGAACAGGCACAAAATTTAGATATCGTCTGGGTCATGGCACAGCACGGCACATGGGGGGCTGTTCTGGCTCTGTTATTTTTAGCTCTGGGAGCTTGAACCTCTGGGTCTCTGTTTTTTCCTCTGTAAAATGGGGGAGAATCGTGTTTGCCTCACGGAGCTGTAGGGACTAAAAGAGTGGAGAATGCAAAACCCCTAACACAGGGTCTGGGACACACCTGGTGTTCCATAAATAGTAGGAGGAAGAGCTGTCACTGTTCTTGTTTTTAACACAAAGGCAGCACGGGATCCCGAAAAGGCAATGGCTTTGAAGTCAGGTCTTTTATGGTATGACTTTCTGCTCATCATTTCTCTGCACCCAATTGTCTTCATTTTTTTTTTGTTTTTTGAGATGGAGTTTCGCTCTTGTTGCCCAGGCTGGAGTGCAATGACATGATCTCCACTCATGGCAACCTCCGCCTCCTGGATTCAAGCAGTTCTCCTGCCTCAGCCTCCCCATAGCTGGGATTACAGGCACCTACCACCACGCCTGCTGATTTTTGTATTTTTAGTAGAGACAAGGTTTCACCATATTGGTTAGGCTGGTCTAGACCTCCTGATGTCAGGTAATCTGGCTGCCTCAGCCTCCCCATAGCTGGGATTACAGGCGTGAGCCACTGTACTCTGTCTTCTCCATCTTTAAAATGGGAATAAGCATGTCTACGCTGCATTGATGGGAGGATAAATAAAATGATATCCATAAGGTGGTGATGATAGGTTGGCAAAGGGGTTGCTGGGTTTTGTCACTGGTATTTTGTAGATAAAGAGACCAGTCCCAGAGAGGGCAGCATCTTCCCCAATGGGCACATAAGACGCCATGGCTGAAAATGTTCTTGAAGATGAACTCACTTGGAGTTCTTACCCCCAAATCCATGGACCCCTGAAAGTGGGTGGGCCAGAGGGTCCCACTCACCAACCCAATGCAGTGAAAAGCTGTGAAGTTTTGAGTATTTCTTCCAGAGAAAGTGTCAAAAGCTCTCGTTAGATTCTCTCAAGTGGCCATAAGCCTCCAAAGTTTAAAAACCACTGTCCTAATTTAACTCCCTTCATTTCCCAGGTGGGAAACAGTCCCAGAGAGGGCAAGATCAGGTGAAAAACTGGAGACAGGCCAGACTCCCACTGGGAATAAAAAACTCGAAATAAGGACTTTGCCTCCTCCAGGAAGCCCTGGGGGTGTCTAAGCATGGGGTCCATGATCCCTGGCACCACAGACTCCTGCTTCCTGGAGGTTACAGGGTGCCACTGTTAGGGATTAAATGTCCCCCCCAACCCAATCCATACGCTGAAATCCTAACCTTCCACGTGGTGGTATTTGGGGCTGGGGCCTTTGGGAGTGACTGGATGAGGCTGTGGGGTGCCCTTCATGACGAGATTACTGTCCTTACAGGAAGAGATCAGCAGCAGCACTCTCTCCCCCTCCCTCTCCCTCCCTCCCCATGTGAGGACACAGCAAGAAGGTTGCCTTCTGCAAGCCAGGAAAGAGCCCTCCCCAGGTCCCAGACATCCTGGCCTCCCAGCCGCAGAATTCCAGCCTCAGAACTGTGAGATGGAAGTTTCTGTTGTCTAAGCCCCCAGGGGGTGGCATTTTGTTATGGCAGCCCAAACCCCATTTAGGGGGAACCCAGGCAGTAGCCCAGACTCCTCAAGTTTTCAAGAGGTGAAGCAGTCATCCCCACCCTCTTCAGTGAACATAGGCAGTGTTTATGGACCCTGCTGGGTGTGGGGTGAGGGGGCAGGAGGAATTTCCAACTTGGATGACCAAGGATGGTAAGGGGCTTTGGGGATAGAACTGGTTAGGAGGTGGGAAGCCCAGCAGGGGTTGTCCTCATGACCCCCTCCCCTATCCCTCAGCCTGGCCCTGTTTAGGGTGGGCCAGTGTCATGATGGTACCACTGAGGCCTGGCACCTTCTTGCTCTGAGTCGCTCCCTACGTTTCTGGTCCAGTCTCACCTCAGCACTTCCTGCCACCCAAGAATCACGCCAGGGGCCCCTCTCCAGCATACACATGGATTTGGTTATCCTGCTCCCAAACCAGCCCGATTTTCCACCCCAACCCCCGCTTCTAAAAAAATCCACTAAGCTGCCTCTGCAAATCACAGCACACACCACCAGGTTTGATTAATTAACTGCACAAAAATGATAGGGAAACCAGTGAAGGACGTAATTATGCAAAACAGAAGTGTCAGATTTACAAAGTGAGTTCCTCCTCTCTCCACATACTCAGAAGGGGGTGGGGTGGGCGGGGGCGGGGGCAGGGGTGGGGATTCCTTCCTTTTACCCTGTAGCTGCCCCTGCTCAACAAATTTTGCTCACAGAAAGTCGGGAGAGAGGCAGGCAGGCCAGGGACAGGGGAGGGGTGGTGTGAGAGGCGGGGACGAGTGGCCTGGGGGGCACACCTGATGGGAAGGCCCTGCAGCGCCGCTCCCAGGTATGTCCACTAAGAGAAGCCCCCCTGCCCCGCCCGGCCCCCTCCTCTATGGGGGAGGTTTCACTGAGCCCACTCGTGCCTATTTGATCTCTGCCGGCCTCTGCTCTGCCTGGGTCTTTCCTTGCCTTGCAATGGTAAGAGCCAGCAGCAGACATCACTGTGGCCAGTGTGCAGAGATGCTCAGGCTGGTCCCGGGAGGCAGAGGAATTCTGGGGGCTTGTGATGTGCCCGCATTGGTTGGGGGGTGTCCTAGGGCATTTGGGGCCTCTCATCTGCATGTGTCTGTCTCTCTATGAGGGGGCTGGTCTAGAGCAGGGCTGGGGTGTGCCCCAGCCCCCTCATTAGGGGCATCTCCGGACCATCTTAGTCACAGCCTGATGTCCCCCACCACCTGGCCCAGCCCGTAGTGCTTCACTCCCCCACCTGTGTGGTCAAAGGCCTCAGGAGGACTTTTCTCCCTCCTCCCCCGGGGTCCCTCGAGGTGGGCTCACCTGCGGCCCGCCTCGGCATCGCGGTAGTCCTCGATGGCCAGGCGCAGCTTTCGCCGGTGCAGGGAGCTGCACACGCCCAGGCCCAGCTGCAAGTCCTCGTCACTCAGGCTCAGCAGCACCTGCCCCCCGGGAGGGAGTGTCATGTGGGGGCTGGGACAGCTGCCAGCGGAGTTCCTGCCCTAGAGGGGGTGTGTTGGCGGGGAGGCTCCTTCCTATCTTCTAGCCACGTTTCCTACAGTGGGGTCAGGGCACATGAAAACCTCTGCAGCTGTGATGTGGGCCAGAATTCCCATCCAGGCAGAAAGAGCCCTTTCCCTTTGGCAGGTAAACAAAGCTTGGGCCCATTTTCAGGATGAGGCAGCTGAGGCTCAGAAGGGCTCTGTGCCTTGCCAGGGCAGCACAGTGACTGAGCAGGTACATCAGAGGCTGATTGCATTGGCTGCCTCCTAGATTGCACCTTCTCCTGACTCCAGGGTGGGAGCGGGGGGCAGGCCAGCTTCTGGGTGCATAAAGCTCATGCAGGGAATGGAGGACGTCCCACAAGGGCCCAGAGTCGCCTACCTTCCCACTCTTCACGTTCTCTGAGCAGGCCTTGACGTACATGGGCATGGCCATCACCACTTCCAGCCAGGCCTGGACGGTGCCCGCCTTCCAATGGGACATGGGGGTGGTCCTCACCAGCTCCACCTGTTGCAGCCGGTCCATCTGCTCCTCACCTTCCGACAGGCTGAGGCTCTGCCGTGTGGGGCTGCACTGGCTGTCCGAGTCTGCAACACAAGTTCAGGCCACGTTGGGGGACGAGGCTGCTGGGGCAGGGGCGGGGCGGGCCGCAACCCCGGGGGGCAGAGGACAAATTCCCCCCACACATTTCTTCTCTTCTAAATCAAAATGGCTTTCGGCTTTTGTGTTTTTCTGCCCTTGCTCCCACCACAGAAGTAATTTATGAAAAGAAAAGAAAAACCTCTGCCAGAAAAAAAATAAAACAGAAAATGAAGATCATCCCATGCAGCTGTGAAAAGAACATTGAGGGAAGTAGAAAAGTTCCTTTTTAAAGTTTCCTTTCTTGTTAAAAAATAAGTGTGCTAATAACTCTCTGTTAAGCCCTATCCTATGTAGCTGTTAAACATGCCATGCTCACAGGCACGTGAGAACACACTCTTGTACTTTAACCAAGATATCTGTGCTGGCCCTTGTGCGGAGCTGCTCAGGCTGGTCCCAGGAGGCAGCGGAGACTGTGAGCACTTGACTGTGAGCACGTCCAGCACAAGGTATCTGTGCTGGACGTGCTCACAGGCATGTCTCAGCTCTCCATTGCTTTTACCTATTTAAAAAAGTTTGACGTTATTAGCTAATCGGGTTTTAGTTTAGATTGTGAGGTCTGGCTCCAGCCAACCGAGATCAGACACAGCAGTAAGGATGATCTCAAATGGGTAAAAAATAAATTTGTGTGTTATTCTTTGTATATTGTACTCTTGTGGCAAGATGGCTAGTAAGAGTAGCCTTTCTGCAGTCCAGGAAGTAAAAATTACGTTGCTAAAAGATCCTTTGTCTCAGTACTAATTTTTTTTTGCGGCACTGAGCATCTATTTCCAATGAAAATAAATCTTGGGACCTGGAACTCATTAAGCCAAAGGGAAAAGTCAGGCTGGGAACTGGGTCACGCAAACCTGCGTAAGATGGCTTCAAGATGAACAGCTACACACCTCCCTCATATGTTGCCCACAAGGAAATTCCTAGTGAGCTCCGAGATATTTACCCTAAAGCATGTCTGTTAAAATTCACCGTGGCAATGTAGACTTATCTTCACACAGTGTTCACCCCTCTGCTCACCTGGCACAAATGCGTATCTGACTATTCCCCTGCCCCATTTATAAGATTCTACTAAAAATCTTACGTAAAAATGCCGATTCCCTGGATTTTCCCCATCTGTCTATGTTACCTTATATAAAAATGCAGATTCACTGGGCCAGACAAAGGCATGCATGATTATTTTCCACCATTCCCCTCTTACATGAAAACTGTGTGCTTGTCAATATGCTGTCCTTTCCCCTTTGGAGCCCTCGAAATCATCTTTGGAGAAAGGCATAGCCCTGTCTCCCAGGCAAGCGTCCTTAACTTCGACAAATACACCTCCTAAAATGACTGAGACCTGTCTCTTCATTTTTCTCTATTGACACCACCCAGAGACAGCCAGCTGTTAAATACTCTGGGATACAGAAAAGCCACACTTACAAACACACACAGACCCGCCTGCTTACAAGATGGGTGCATTTTGTGATATGCCTGTTCGCTTTCGCTGTGGAGGACATCTTTCCATCTCAGTAGAGACCTGCAGTACCTTTTTGCTGTGAGGGATTCATCAGAAGGAGGCTCCATAATTTATTCCACCTGCCTCCCACTGATGGGCATGGGGCTTGTTTCCAATTTTTCGCTATTGTAAACAACACAGCGGCAGTCACCTTTGGGCAACCAGGTGATTTATTTTCTTAGGATAAATGGAACTCAGCTTCATTTCTTAATACACTGAAAGCAGTTTCTGGGGTGGTCCTCACAGACCAAATAAACAAATAAATAAATAAATCCATCTACCAACATTTTCCAACCCCACTCTTCCATCTACGGTCGGCTACCTCAATGCCTGGTAAATATGCAAAGTTCAGGTTACAGAGATGCAATTGAGAGGGAAAAAGAATCTCTCTAAAACAGGATTAAATAAAAACCTAAACAGGCTGGGTGTGGTGGTTCACACCTGTAATCCCGACACTTTGGCAGGCCGAGGTGGGCAGAAGGCTTGAGCTCAGGAGTTTGAGACCAGCCTGGTCAACATGGGGAAACCTCATCTCTACCCAAAATACCAAAAGATTAGCTGGACGTGGGCCAGGCGCAGTGGCTCACGCCTGTGATCCCAGCACTTTGGAAGGCCAAGGTGGGTGGATCACGAAGTCTCGAGATCGAGACCATCCTGGCTAATATGGTGAAACCCCTTCTCTACTAAAAATACAACAAAATAGCCGGGCATGGTGGCATGTGCCTGTAATCCCAGCTAATTGAGAGGCTGAGGCAGGAGAATCGCTTGAACCTGGGAGGCAGAGGTTGCAGTGAGCCGAAATTGTACCACTGCACTCCAGCCCGGGTGACAGAGCGAGACTGTGTCTCAAAAAAAAAAAGAAAAAGAAAAAGAGAAAGGAAAAAGGAATGCACAGCAGGCACAGTGGAACCCTGACTGTGGTTTAAAAATTATATGTAGATATAAAGTGTATAATTATTACATATACATGTATATTTATACAATATACTAGATGGTTAAAATCTAATATATAAAAATAGATATAAAGCACTAGCTGGATAAACATGAAACGTCTGTCTCTGGAAGGCAGTGGTAGGTAATTGTGTGAGTGTGTGTGTGAATGTGGCATGTGAGTGTGTGAGGACATTTGTGACTGTGTGCATACTTGATTCCCAAGTTTTCTGCATTGACTATATTACATTTGACATGGGGAAAAAAGCCTGGAAATGTCACTTTTTAAAGTTACAAACCCCCTCCCTGCAACGCCTTCCCTCTCTCCATTTTAAATTCCTTGAGGGTCTCTTTGAAAAGAGCTGCACATACTTGGTGACCACACACTCATCCATCATCCCCATCTCCATCAAAACCTGTCTCCCAAACACCTTGTGCCTCAGTTTCCCCACTGTAATGCTGGCCCGGTACTGTTCTGTGCTGCCTGCCTCCTCTGTGGGCTGCTGTGAGGACTCAGCCGGGGTGAGTGTGACAGGGCTGTCCGTGCTGGGACAAGTACAGGTTGAGAGGTCACTGCCAATATGGTATTGTTTCCCTTCTCAGTGGCTGAAGGCCTTAATTTTTCCCAGGGAAATGGCAGAGGTTGCAGAGAGCTCTGTGCAGGTCACCAGTCTGAGTGACCTCCTGTTGCCATAGTACCCGGGAATTTGGAAACAGCAGCTGCCTCTGCAGCCCCACCAGGGCCCCAGGTTCCGGCCTGGTGAGAGGGCTGTCCAGCCAGGGGTGCAGACCGGTGCCCAGTGCTGGTGCCTGGCTCCTGTGGACTGGCGTGGCTTGCAGGGAAGTCTTTCTGATCAGGTACAGGACTCCAAGTTCTACAGGGGTTGGAACAGGCACTGAAACAGGGCATCCTTTCTGGGTGGGAGAGAGCTGAGAGCTCCCGGGAGGCCGCCAGCATGGTGGGCTTCACTCTGTCTTATTCCAGTAGCTGAGTCTCGCCTCTGTTATGTGCTTCTGGGAAGAGGAGAGGTGATGTGTGGCCAAATCTGGTTACCCAAAGTTCCAAGACATGGCCCGTGTCACCCATGTGGACCAGGCTTTGGAGATGAACAGACCTCAGCTTCAGGCAGATTTCCTGAAACCTCCGTTTCTCCATAAATAAAATGGGAATGATGAGTGTATCTGCCTCCTAGCTTGAAATGAATGTTGTAAACTCTGAATGGGAAGCTATGGGAGTGTGAAAGTTGCAGATACCCGGATGAAATAACTCTTGTCAGATCCAAAAGAATTAGAGCTGCAAAGGCAAGAAGGAGGGGAACTGATGCTTGCATATCTGAGATAAGGACTGTCGCAAGGACTTTCTAAAATAACCCCCCAAGAAATTCCTTCGTCAGGACTGCAGCAATTCAGATAAGATGTTCTCCAAAGAACACTGCCCCGTAATGATGTCTCCGCCAATGAACAGATGCCAACTCTAGCTTTGAGCCTCCAGAGCCAATGAAGTCTGTTTCCAAGCAGCTTATGTGAACTTCTCTTTTTGCCAATAAAACCTTCCCTCTGCTGTCCCCTCTCCAGATGCACCTATGGCTTGCCACGGCTATGCTTCCAGAGTCTAATCCGTTTTGTTTACTCCCAAATACATTCATCACATAGGAATATTTTTCTGATGTCTCTTTTATCAGGCTTACAGGAGACACTTAGTCAAGGTGCTATTGATGGTAATAAGGGGTCCCTCTCCTGGGGCTTGGGCACTGTTTAGTCACATTTAGAGTTCAGCTGCAGCTGCCTCCTTCCTGCTACACTGCTGGGTGCAGCTTTGGTGACTTTGGAGAAAACAAGTCCTCCTGGTTGTCCCGGCTGGCGGGGCAGAAATTCACTGTCCCTGCTGGACTCTTACCTGGTCGAGGTGGGAGGGGTGGGGCTCTCAGTGAGATGAGGGTGCATCTTTCTGTTCTATGCCCAGGTGGGTGGGCTGAGGGTGTCTGCAGCCCTTGGCTATGATACGTCTCCCCAAGAAAGGGAGCTAAAGGGGCATGGGAAGGGGAGAAAGGAGATGGGAGCAGAAGTTAGCACCTGCTCCTGAGTCCACCAGAAGAGGGGAGGGTTCAAAGAACAGCATCTGGGGAGAGAAAGGGTGTCCAGCCACAATAACGATGGGAAGGTAAATTGGAAAGAGGAGAGCGAGAGAGAGGGAATAGAGGGTCAGGAGGGGATGACAGATACGTGCACAAACAGAAGCAGCAGATTTCTGATGTGCATGTGTGAGCGCGTGTGCATGTGCCTGTGTGTCTTTGTGAGTGTGTGTGGGTTACTTGGGTTATTTTGTGTAGCGAGCAGGCCTCAGGGCTGTAAGGAGAGCTGGCTTTACAACTCAAATTATTTACGGAGTCCAGGCCCTAGGAATGCCAGAGGCCAAACTGGGTTCACGTGCACAAACCACACATTTTGGTTTCTGCAAGACAGCTATTCACCATCGCTGTTCACCACCGCCTCCCTCCCCTCAACCCTGAGGACTCAGCGCCAGGGAGA